TCTCTATTTTTTTGCTGTTTTTTAAATTCCGCCGCAGGGGGCGTTGGCCAATCAGCGAACTGCGTGCCACAAATGTTTTTACTGAAAGGTCCATGAATGAACTATTATCACGGAGGACCCGATTCGCAGGGCATCCGTCGATTGACTTTTGCCAGAATCGGTCACCTTCGCATGTGACGTCAGCTGGATACTGGTTCGAATCTCCTTGGGTGCACACTTTTTTTTCTGTTGATTTGGAGATTTTCCCGTAGACACAATCTGTGTCAGTTCTGAGAACACCTTGGAGTCGATCCTACAAAGAACCTTGTGACACTTCCATCGCATTACCCATCCTGGCCACAAGAGGTTCCCAGTTGAGGGTAAATTCTGTGGGTGGAGAGTGTTAGGGAGGACCCGATTCGCAGGGTAGCCGTCGATTGACTTTTAGCAGAATCGGTACACCTTCGCACTGTCACCCGAGATGATGCTCCACCAATATCTCAAGCAGTTAAATACAAATGATTGCCGGTGGAAAAATTCCTAGAAGTAGCATACATCGAAATCGCGTCTGAACAGGAACGGCGCGTAACTAAGGGACAATGTGTCAACTGCTCAGAGAAATGTCGTCAGATGACAATCATGTTTCAACTCATTTACCAGTTCAACTTCGGGAGCACAAATAGAGGCTCCCACCCATGACTGGTAAAAAAATGCCATATCCTGCCTCCAACACACACACAGTACATACCACCAGTACAACAGAAACTCCGCAAACAAATCGAACTATATTCCAGACATGTCCGGCAACAAGCGTCCAGTCAATAAGAAGTACCAAAATGTTATCAAAACTGCTCCAGCTCCGGTTCCTCCTCATGAATCATCCCCCCTGCTGAGACATGTCAATTTGACGCAACGCAATCCAATTAAATCTTCAGAGCCATGTCGTTTCTGCAACGTAGTCTGCATTCGAAATAAATCAGACAAAACAACTCCGAACCGCAACAAAAAAAACTATCAAATAAAAAGAAGGCAGACGTCCCGCCTATCAGTCTGCAGTGTAGTCATTGATTACCCATGCCGTTGCACTGAATCCGCATGCTGGGAAGGAAACTGACACGCAAGTAGGATTGACTCATTGGGTATGGTTGAATCGAGGTACGGAGAAACAGTGCCCTCTCCAACCTGTTCACCCAGCACGTCACACACATGCCAAACCAACGTTTATTGTTTTCTTTCGAATTGCATTTATGTATTAATACTTTTCGAAAGCCCGAGGGAAGAGAGACATACCAAACTACTGGCAGAGAGCACTTTCCCGCAGACACCTTTCTGCGGCCTTTCTATTGTGCCTCTGCCTCTCTCCCAATAAATACTGTCTCTGTCTTCCCTCCAAACAGCAACTGAGGGTGCTCTCTCCTGCGGTGGATGGAACCAATCTTACTGCACACAGTAGTCTCAGATGACCAAGTTCCTCAATGGTACCGTAACATTTCTTCGCCTCAGACACAGCTAGCTACACGTTCTACCGGATTGAGTCAGTCCTCTCCTTTTCCCCACCTTCGAAAGAAGGGGTCGGTGGGTGGGAAAATTCTCCACTTTTCCTGTCAGCTCCAGAGGCTGGCACACCACTAGAAGCCTTCTATGTGACCACCTCGCTAGTTGTCTCTGCGGTTCTCTCTCTCTGGCACGCTAAGACTCTGTGGACACAAGGCTTGAACAGAATGGTTACACAACAAGCAACTCGTCCTCTCGACCGAGGGGGCCCCGCAGCACGCAATATGTGCCGGGTACCCCAATACAAACAGTATGGCAATTCGAGCTTTTTCAATAAGTCTAAGCATGTTCAATACGACCAAAAAAACATGGCGGCGGTTGCTACCGTACTTCGAGAATACGATATATCCTAACAAAGATGGTAAAACCAATGTGGGACAGACCATACACAGAATAGTCTAAATTTACTGTGCCGCCGCCATTTGAGAAATGTAGACTATAATATATATGTCTTCCTGGGTAACAACCCTTCCCTCCTGCCGCAATACTTAGTCAATTTTCGTCCCAGAAAAGAACAAAACGTAGCAGTAGGGGTGTTTCCTATCATATTCCTGTCCAAGAAAGCCCCTGGCACTCCGCAAGGTAAAACGCGGGTGAGTAGACATCTCTATAATAGAACAATATGCGACGAATCATTCCTTCAAACGCCCCGAAGGCAGGACACGAAAATTAATTTCCAGACATCAAACAATGGTGAAAAGTGAGCAGTGGTATTGGATCTGAAGCCAGACCATAAAAATCACTCACGTGTCTTCGGCGAGTTTTTTGTGTAATACGGAACCTGCCCGAGCTCAATAAGCGTCACATTATGCTTCGCGTTGACATATCCTTCCTCAAAATACATAATAATCTACTCTATGGTACGACTGCATCACACGATACTATGTATTTCGAGCGTATGCACAGTAGAGGAGGTGTTCTACACCAATTCCACCGGTCACCAACTCCACCCAAAACGGCGGTATGGTGTTCGTCTGCATCAGCGCCCGATAACCTGGCGTTCGGCGACAGACAGCGGGGTACGGCGGGAGTACTTTGTTGAAACGAACGTGTTCCAAATAAGTCAGCTATTACGCGTGCATTTCTTTCTATGAAATAACAACCCATCCATGTAGATCGCTGAGGCTGGATACAAATACGTCTAGCATGGCCAGGGAAGATAGAAAGGTGCGGCAAGGTCAATGAACGAGTTTCCTTTAAGCAATGTTTTGGTGGGGTTGATGATGAACAACTCTGATACATGTTACCGTCGGAGGATCACCACTCCAAACTCTCGGCTTCGGGCCCGCGTCCATTCTAGCAAATCGCGCCAAAAGGCTTGAATGGCCATTGCCGCTGCCGCTCGCCTGGCCGCTTGCGACACATGGCGGCGAGCGCTCATCTCTCGAGCTAGGGCCTGCACACGAACCGCTGCCGTGACCAATCTCTCCGCTCTCATCCGCACTCGAGCTTCCTCCTGGCGCTGTCGGCTTATCCTAATCCTGTTCCATCGCTGTAAGACCACCGCGGCCGTCGTTCGAGTACCCGCGAGGAAGAGAGCAGAATTGACTACCCGCTATATTTCTGCAGCGGCTAATTGATGAACGTCGTCGGACTCGACGTGACGATTGGTTCTGCTCGCTGGTGGGAAGGTAACCGTTCCTGCTGTGGCAGAAACCTTCACCTCGTCGAGACTCTCGTCGCCTACGTGCCCGGGATCTGTGGCCTGCTGATGATGCCTTCGCACGCGTGCCCTCCTCCAAAACCGCTTGACGGAAACGGCGGCGATCGCCCTCCGCTTTCCTTCTTCCACAACCACGTCACACGTCTGCGTGACGTGCCCCAGGAAAACCCCCACCTCGACCAAAGCCTATTGTATAGAAAAGCAAGCAAAGTGACGACACCGAATTGTCGTTAGTGCGTTGCACGCGGCCGACTCACACCCTCGTACTCTAGGTCAAGGTAAAGACACATCAGCAATAATTACTAGGCTTGGGCATCCCCGGAAAAGGAAGACGGTGACAAACCAAGGCTTTACGTAGGACATGGAGTCAGAGGTCTGGTTCCGAGGCGACCAGTTTGACGAACTGTAGCATTTCGTTACCCGGAAAGTGTTGCTGGTACTGATGAAGCTATGCATATGTATTCTGGCGCAACAAACCACACTTCTTGACTCCTTCTTCAATTGAATCACCCATTTACCTCTCGAGCCTCCTGCGCGCCGATCATCCTGGCGAAGTGCCGAACAAGGAGTGCGTCTGATAATCGAAGAGCTTCGGCCGCTTGAAGAATTTGCATGAGACACGGCAAGTTCCGCCTGCGAACAATAGCCCACTTCCAGAGGTGTCCCAAGGCCATCATCGCGTGGTCAACGATCGCGGCCGCCCGCTTCCTCCCTTCATCCGTAATAGCAAGAGAACCATTTGCGGTTGCCACACCTCCAACTGAACGGCTCGGAAAGGCCGAAGCCCACGAAGCCGGGAGACCGGCCTCGACCACAGACGCGCACAGTGCCAACACCGAACCCACGTGCTCCACTACCCTCACCGGTGTGTGGGAAAGCGCGTCTAGAAGGGTGCGCATCGGCCGTCGGTCGAACATGGGTACTGCCTCGTCCTTTGCTGCTATGCTAGAAGGCGACATCTCCTTTGGAGGTCTCCGCAACATTCTTTGATGATCGTACATTTCCTCCTTCAAATTCAGTTACCAGGGTTACGTTTCCTCCTTTGATGGCCGCGCACATTTCCTCCTTCAAATAATCGCAGCAGCAACAAGCTTGTGCGTGGCTAATAATCGTTCCATGTCTGATACGCCAAGTACCGAACGACGTAGACTGGCACCAGAATACCATTAGGCCGAAAGAGCACAACTCGCCCGGTAGAGATAAAATGTGTGGGAAGACCGAGGAGTGGTACACCGCCCACGCCATCAACACCGCACAGTTCATCCAACAGTCAAAATTGGGTGTGGCCGACGAGTTCGGATCGCAGCTCTGACGAGTTGTGTGTGGATCGTCTTTGATTGCGCACTCTCTCAGACATCTAGTAACGAACGCCTGAGCCCTTCGGGGAGACTGACATGCAGCGTAAAGAATACCAGAGGCAATGGACAAGATTTGGCACCACCAATATCGTGTCTCAAACCTACGATCTACCTCTGGAGCAGTACAGAGTATTGATGTTGGAGCTGTATGTTCGCGAAGGAAAGCACTTCGTTGATGCTCCGCACCAGGCTTGGCTGATGGTGTGCGCACCTGTACTTGCGCGAATGTCTGTGCCAAAATCGATGATATCGATCAGGGCTCTAGAGAGTCAGTTCGCGGGTGCTGTAGGCTCGTAAAAGAAAAATGGCATGAGCGGTTTTTTCGTGCACGTACAACGGCACGAGGCAGTCAGCAAGCAAAGCACTGCTGTAAGCATCGGCAGCGATCTCGGTTATTGAACGAGACAGACAGACAGCGAATTTCCGCCCGTCACGCGACGGGCCGTGCCTGTGGTTAGGGAATTAATGTCCCTATCGGACAAATCGCACTCATACAAGACTGATATCTTGTTGTTGTTGTTGTTGTCGTTGTTTCTCACATTAGCTCCATAGTCCACAAATAATGGGGAGCCCGTGGTCTCAAAACCCGGCACATAAGACGCCGCGGGAAAACAAAACAAAAATAGGGTACAAACCACTCGAAAGAAGAAAACAAAATGATAGAAAGAAAATAACAGCTACCCCACCGACCGTTCGAGTAAAGAGCCCTCGGAAATCGAGAAATAACAAACAAAAACAAAAATAAAAAGAAAGGAGAACGCTTCTCACACCCGCCTAAAGAAAAAATCAAAGGGAAATGTACCAGCACAAGGCACTACGCACTGGGGCGTGGGAGTAACGGAGCAAACAGGACAAAGAGGCGGCAGTTGGACAGACAGCCAGATGTACAAAAAAGTAGCAACAGCAAAAGCGAGATCAAGGTACCCAACACAGCAGAGTAGGCAGGGAGGACATGAAAAAAAGAAACAGCACAGAGGTCGAAGGCAATACAAAGGACATACATAAAGGAGAGTAGCATACAGCAGCGAGGGAAACAGGGCGCAACAACATCAGCCGGGTACATAGTTCGCCACAAGTGCTGCCTCGGCCGCCCTACTCGCTTCTACAGCAGTGCCCGGTCGCCGCTTCTTCCCCCTCACCGCCGCTTCCCCGACTCTCTTTCTCTTCGGTCCTGAGATGGCCGTACTCTCTGCTTCTGCTTCCCTCGCGCGCTGGCGCTTCGCGGACGCTTCCGCCTCATGCCTGTGCCATTTCCTCATGCGCCATGCCACCCCGTCCTCGACCTTGATGCACCACACTTCCGGGTCCTTGGCGCTCTCTTTCCAATTACCCCCTTCCTTTTCGTCTCCCATGTTGAAGGCCACGAGGTCCTCTCCTAGACGAGACACCCAGTCGCTCTCCTGCCCGCCCCGGTATCCCACGCCCCCCGCCATCGCTCCTAACAGCATGCGCTTGGGGAGGCGGTTGTCCTCCATGCGCATAACAAAGCCCGCGAAACACAGTCTCCGTTTGCGCACGGTGGCCTCGATGGTTTCCTCGCAGCCGGCCTGGATGAGGGCCTGGGCATAGGACAGGGGGCGGTCTGAGCGTTTCCGCTTGCTCCAGCCGATGCAACGTGTAAGGAACTGGCGGTGGGGCCCATTGAGCTTCGTGTCGTGCTCCGCTGTTGGGCTCCACGAGGCGCACCCATACAAGAGAATCTCCACTTCTTCAGCCTGGAGTAGCCGGATCTTGAGCTGGCGCTCGGCCCGTCGTCTGTCGTACATCGAAGCACTGTTCCGGCGGTAGCACTTCCACGCTCGGCAGCTGCGGCTCGTGATCTCCCGGTCGGCCTTCCCGTCCGCGGAGATGGTACGTCCGAGGTACACAAACCG